TCATTATCAGTGTTTTTTTAATCTCTTGTGTTTCTCTTGTTTCAGAGCCGATTCATCATTTCTCTCTCTCCCCTGCACATCTGACTCTCCATCTCTCCCTCCTCCTCCATCTCTCCCTCCTCCCTCCATCTCTCCCTCCTCCCTCCATCTCTCCCTCCTCCCTCCATCCTCCCCTCTCATCTCTCCTCTCCTCCATCCTCCCTCTCCTCCTCTCCCTCCTCCCTCCATCTCTCCCTCCTCCCTCCATCTCTCCCTCCTCCCTCCATCTCTCTCCTCTATCCCTCTCTTCTATCTCTCCATCTCTCTCTCTGTTCTTCTTTTCTTTTCTGGTGTAATTGTTCTTGTTCATATTAAACCGAACGATGAACCTGATAAAACCAGAGACACAAGACCCGGTTTAGTCCTGGTTTAGTCCTGGTTTAGTCCTGGTTTAGACCCGGTTTTGACCCGGTTTAGACCTGGTTTAGTCTTGGTTCAGTCCTGGTTTAGACCTGGTTTAGACCTGGTTTAGACCCGGTTTAGACCCGGTTTAGACCTGGTTTAGTCTTGGTTCAGTCCTGGTTTAGACCTGGTTTAGACCTGGTTTAGACCTGGTTTAGACCCGGTTTAGACCTGGTTTAGACCTGGTTTAGTCCTGGTTTAGACCTGGTTTAGTCCTGGTTCAGTCCTGGTTTAGTCCTGGTTTAGACCCGGTTTAGACCCGGTTTAGACCCGGTTTAGTCCTGGTTTAGTCCTGGTTTAGTCCTGGTTTAGACCTGGTTTAGTCCCGGTTTAGACCTGGTTTAGTCCTGGTTTAGTGCTGGTTTAGTTTAGTCCTGTTTTAGGTCTAAATAAAGAGTCTGTGGGACATAGAGGGATGGTGCGTCTGTTGCCGTGGAAACACTCTGATCTGGGACTCGAACCCTGACCCCCCCTGACCACCAGAGGTCCCCACAGCATCCATCACCCAGACTGAACCAGGACTAAACCAGGTCTAAACCAGGACCAGACCAGGACTAGACCAGGACCAGACCAGGGCCAAACCAGGACTAGACCAGGACCAAACCAGGACTAGACCAGGACCAAACCAGGACCAAACCAGGACTAGACCAGGACTAGACCAGGACTGAAACAGGACCAAACCAGGACTAGACCAGGACCAAACCAAGACTAAACCAGGACAAGACCAGGACCAAACCAGGGCCAAACCAGGACTAGACCAGGACTGAACCAGTACTAAACCAGGACTAAACCAGGACTAGACCAGGACTAGACCAGGACTGAACCAGACCAGGACTGACCAGGACTAGACCAGGACTGAACCAGGACCAGACCAGGACTGAACCAGGACTAGACCAGGACTGAACCAGGACTAAGTGAGTTCAGATTCATAAATCTCTGAGTCGAGTTAAAAATCAGTTTCACTTTTTTAGACTTTTTTATCGTTTTTTCATTTGTTTTTTTCACGCTTGTTTTTGTCGTTTTTTTCCGTCTCTTCTCGCTCGTCCGCTCGCTCGCTCCCTCTCTCTCTCTCTCTCTCTCTTCCTCTCCTCCGTCTCTCTCATTTCTTCTCGTTCTTTTCTATGAAACTGATCGATCGTGAATAGTTTAACGCTCAAACGTCGGGAGATTATTTATTCCTCTGAGCAGAGCACATTACACAGACTTATGTTTATTATAGACCACAGGAACGAGGGATCAGGACGGAGGAGAGGAGAGGAGGAAGAGGGAAAGAGAGAGAGATGAAAAGACGGAGGGAGATAGTGGGGAGAGAAATGAGGTAGAGGAGGACAAGGAGAGAGGGAGCGAGGGAATAGGATGGAGGAGAGGAGAGAGGGATGAGGACAGAGGAAAGGAGCGAGGAAAGACAAGAGAGGGAGCGAGGGATGAGGACAGAGGAGAGAAGGAGCGAGGGATGAGGCCGGAGGAGAGGAGTGTTGTATATAAATGCAAATGGAAGTTTAAACTGTGAGAGTCTGATATTAAACACATAATGAGAAAATATAGGAAACATTAGAGCTGATTAGAACCAAACCAGGACCAAACCAGGACTAAACAAGGACTAAACGAGGTCCAAACGAGGCCCAAACGAGGACTAAACGAGGACTAAACGAGGACCAAACGAGGACTAAACGAGGACCAAACGAGGACCAAACGAGGACCAAACGAGGACCAAACGAGGACTAAACGAGGACCAAACGAGGACCAAACGAGGACCAAACGAGGACTAAACGAGGACCAAACGAGGACCAAACGAGGGCCAAACGAGGACTAAACGAGAACCAAACGAGGACCAAACGAGGACAGGACCAGGACTAAATGTAAAAACGACGGCCTGAGCCACAAAAACAAAATTTTATTAAACTTTAATAAAGTTGTTGGGCTGTTTAAATCAGATGCCCTGCCACACACATCCCCCACAAAACAAACAGGACTAGACCAGGACTAGACCAGGACTAAACCAGGACTAAACCAGGACTAGACCAGGACTAGACCAGGACTCAACATGGTGCTAATTAAAACCATAATTTTAGTTTCCCAGATCTAGTCCAGGTCTCAATCAGGATTACAGCAGGTCTGGAGTCTAGTCCGGGTCTAGTCCGGGTCTAGTCCGGGTCTAGTCCGGGTCTAGTCCGGGTCTAGTCCGGGTCTTGAGGACTGTATGAAGTGGGTCTCTGGGGTCAGGACATAAATCACA